TTTTTAAACATAAGATATAACGATGAATAACAAATTGATATAAATTTCTCATTTGTTTGAAAAAAGTTTACATTTTTTATTTACTAATAAAACTACCTTTCAAATCACACTTAATATAGAAGAATTTAAAAATACGAATTGAGATTTTTAAATAAAAAAAATTCAAATAGTACTAATAAAGTATAATATAATATAATACTACCTTCTTCCCGAAAAGGTTCTCCATATTGATTATTTTTTGTCAATGATGGCAAGTTTGAGACAATGATTTTAATTATTATATCGTATATAATTTATAAATTTAATACTTTGATGAAAATATTTCGAATAAGGGACATACATTTTGATATAATTTTCATATTCGAAATAATTTCATATTAAAAAATATCATTAATCAAAGTTGATAGTCATTGACAAAAAAAAAGTCAATGTGACGAATCTTTTCAGAACGAAGGGCTTAAGTAAATTGGGAGTACATACACATTGTGTGATTCTCCTGAATAAATATAAATCAAATTTATCTATATTCTTATATTCTCCATAAAATTATAGGATTGGTATTTCTATTACATCTTAAATAATTAACTGGCTTGATTAGAAGTATATAATAATGACATGTCCAACTGTATGCTTCTGAAAAGTTTCTCTTTTATACATTTTATCCATTCTTTTTAAGTTACAACACTTCCATTTTCACGTTTGCCAACACACTACTTTCATTATTAATATATCTATAATTTGTTGCAAGTAAAAAATGATATTTTTGGAAATTTAAATTGGGAGACATTGAACAATATTTTTTAAAAAATGTCTAATACATTAATAAATAAAATATAACCAAAGTAGGACATGAGATTTGTTTAGTTTATATATTGATTTTGTATCATTTTATTGCAATTAATGGAATTACAAGAGCACGTTGAGGTCTAAAAATTTGTAGAAAATGCACAATGCAAGTAGTTATTATTAGTCATATTTATTAAATAAACTTCATCTCTGAGTCTACGGCTTCTACTATTAAAGCTAATTTCAACTCATCATTTAATTTCATATTCCCAAAAATATTGTCGCACTGCCTACAATATTCATCAACGAAGTGCGAAGACAAAATGGTTGCATGTCGCGTCCTTGATTATATGGGATGAAGCTATGCTGATACACGAGGCCTGTTCTAAGATTTTAGACGTTATGCCATGCTATCGTTGATCGTGGTCTAGGAGTGACGTATCTTAGTTCAATTGATATTATTACTTCACACACTGGTACTGCTTTCCATTTTGATATATATAATGTCAAATATCTTAATAGTGCTTCAATAGTTGGATTGTCCAACCATGTCCTTCATTTGAAAATCAGAGCCCCCGATAATGTTATTGAGTAATATTAATCATGCATAAGTTATATTCAACATAACGTAATTGGTCATAACCATATTGAAAAAACAAGTATGACAATTCGTAATTTGAAAAGTTATGAAAGACGATAAAGTTTACATATTAAAAATCTCATTGTCACCATATGACAACTTTATTCAATTTTTGAATAAAGCCATTTCTTGTGATGGTAAGCTTTGCAATGACAATCAATAAAAGACAGTGCTAAATTTTGCCAAAAAAAAGTCAAGGCTAAATGGTTATCACATAAATTACGGAGTAATTTATACCTTGAAAGAGGAGTTTCATTAATGACCAATTGTACATTGTAATACCAAGAGTAATACGTAAAAATATCTTAAGATATTATAATATGTTCAAAAGAAACAAAATTCTTCACCAAGATGGTGAATGTCGTTTACAAAGAGGTTTCCCAATTTAAACATAACAATGTGATGTTTGATATGTGCAGTGTTACATTACAATGTCACTTTTTTAATATATTCTATTTAATTTTGCAATATATATTGTTGGGATATATTATCCCGGCCTATTACTGTTCAGGAGCCCAAGACTTTACGTAGTACGGAGCCCAATCAGTAAGGCCCATTTTAGCCTATCAGGCCTGTTTCGGCCTTTGGGCCCATTTTGGCCCATTCGGCCCGTTAGGGTGGAGAGCCTCCTTTCCCCCTATTCCCTATAAATAGGAGGTTTCCCTCCATGTAAAAAGATCTCCTTTCCTTCTGTAACACCTTGGCCCCGCAGGACCCGAGATAGTTACTCCGGACCAATAGTACTGTCCTCACAAACCACCACGAGCCTTTACCGCGCACTTTGTCCTCACTCATGCGCGCCCTGAGAAACTTCCCAGGGGGTCACCCATCCCTAGAATACTCACGCGCAAGCACGCTTAACTTTGAAGTTCTTAGCGGATGAGCTCCCGTAAAAGGAGATGCACCTCTGTTGGTATGAGTAGTACTATTAATCCGTTTATATTAAATCTCAAGTGTTACACCTTCTTCCTCCTGCTCACTAGAATAGCTTAGAACTCCATTAATGGGAGCTTCAATACTTGTACTATGTAATGGTGAGGAGAGATTAATGAGAATGAGAGGGCTTGGACATTAGCCTAAAAAGTCCCGTGGTTTTCTCCCTTTCGGGTTTCCACGTAAAAACTGAGTGTTCAGACATATATTTACTATATCGTGTTGGATTAAACTCAACATATATATATATATATATATATATATATATATATATATATATATATATATATATATATATATATTCTATTTAATCAAATTACTATTTACAATCAACTAAATTTTATTTGAACTAAAATAATTAATTATTTATATATTCTATAAAATATATTACGTATATCTTTTAAAGTATTAAAACATTCACAACCTCCGCCCGGGGCAACGCCCGGGTAAAACACTAGTAATGAACCTATTGATGATAATCGTGATATTATAAGTGTATGATATTTAATAGATTTTTTTTCTCAAAATATTACTAAAATAAAACTTATTTACATAAGTAACACCAATAGTTATTACAATCTAATGTCATGGTAACTTAAGTTTAAAAGTTGAACATAAGTTACTATGATTCCATTAGTACTCAAGTCACTAGTCACATTTTTGTAAACAATATTTATTTTAGTCATAAATGTGTAATTATTTCTATTTAATATTTGATGACTAAGTTATCATTTAATAGTACTAATTATTTTTCAAAATAGAAATATGAATCTTTAATACGAACATCTAAAAGGATGAGAAGTTTAAGTTGAGACGAAATAATGTTTTATCCATCTCAAATTGGCCAATTTCCTATTCCACATTTACATCATACCAGAAACACCAACCGAAATGATCAAGTGCTCCAACCATAAAATAAACATCAATTAAGAAGTACTTAACCGGAGCAACTAGCATTCTCAAAGTAGTGCGTGGGTTTAGAACAACCCACACAATCCAACACGATATAATAAATATATAGATATAATTTGATAAGAACACTCGATCTTTACGTGGCAACCCGAAAGAGAGAAAATCACTGGACTTTTTAGGCTAATGCTCAAGCTCTCTCATTCTCATTAATCTCTACTCACGATTACAATATACAAGTGGAGCTTCCATTAATGGAGGTTGCTAGCTAATCTATTCTAGAGAGGAGGAGAAGGTGGGGGAAGAAGAGAAGCATCATTTACATGGAGGGAAAGCCTCCTATTTATAGGGAAAAGGGGAATGGGGGCTCTCCACCCTAACAGGCCGAATGGGCCGAAATGGGCCCAAAAGTTGAAACAGGCCTGATAGGCTGAAAATGGGCCTGACTGATCGTGCCCCATACTACGTAATGCCTTGGACTCCTGAAAAGTGGTAGGTCGGGACAATATTTATCAACACTATTCTTCCTATAAAGTGACTTTTTAGAATGAACCCTAGATATTAAATAACACTGATCATAAAAAGAGAAATGGTCCTAAATAGGAGTAAATACGATACGGAATTTCAAAATAGAATTGCTATGTTCTTCTCCTAAAATAGAAGTCGTTACTGCCATATTTGAAAAATACTATCATTAATGACAATAAGTCATGTTCATGTATAATACTACAACTATTTGTCTGTAATGATTCATTTTCAGCCTCTCAACTATTGAATCAGTGACATTTTTGATACTTGACTTTCAATTTTTCATTTTTAATCCTCGACTATTGTGCGAGAGACACTTTTATTTATCGACTTCAATGTTTTTCACATTTAGTCCTCTGAATATTATAACATTGACACTCTAATGAGTCCTTTCAATATGAATTTGACACAATAAATGGAGGATTACAAATGTCACTATTATAATTGTTAAAAGACTAAAAGTGCGACTTTTATGAAAGTCAAAAGACTAAATGTGGAAATTTTCAAAGACGGGTACCAAAAGTGTGTGTCCACAATAGTCGAAGGATTTAAAAGCTGAAAAACTCAAAGTCGAGTATCAAAAGTATCAGTGACATAATAATCTGAGTGACAAAAATTTTTAAATTTTTTTGTAAAAGTTATATGGAGTAGTGTTTAATGCAAAAGTGCTACTCCGTATTTATTTTTTAAGAAAGTTAAAACAGTTTAAGTAGTTGGTTTTGAGATTTAAACACACCTATACTAGCATATTACCATATACTCCGTACATGTGTGTATTTGTGTGTCGATCATGAGCGTTAGGCTACTAAAGGTTAAAGCTAATGAGCTACATATGTAGAGCATATTTTATTGAACACACGGTGCACCCAATATCAGCTGATTAGTACGGAGTATTATTGACCTTAACCAAGTTTGACCGGTACAAAAAATAATAAAATGGAAAAATATAAATTTGAGATTTGTGTAAAAGAAAAGAAACAACAAGAATCACAAATAAATTAATTAAAGTAAAACATTGCAAAGTTTTAAGACATCTCAAAATGAAAAAGTGATCAAATTTTAAGGGACAAAACGGGTATAACGTAACTTTTGAAATGTTTTCTTTTTCTTTGGCTTTTTTATTACGTGATGAGAATTCCACACCTCCTTTTTCTGTCCACTTTGATGATAAAGTAAAAGCAAGAAAGAGAAACGCAAAAAAATAAACCAAAAGAAAGAGAGAAAGAGGGAAGGAATTGAACGAAAGACATAAAGGTTCTCCTACCTCCATCTATCATTCAAAATTTATCCATCTCCCTTACCTTAGCTTATACACTCTCCTCCCCCTCTCTACACAAATAATACCAATTCTTCTACCCTTTTTTATTATTATCAAAAGCAGGTCGGCCTCACAAAGCTTAACTTAGCTGCGCTAAGCTTCTCAAAAGAAAAAAATAAGGGCATGTTTGGCAGCTATATATAGGCAACAAGAAGGTGAAAAAACAGCATCAACAAAAACCAAACTTCCTTCAATTCATACTAGCTAGCTAGCAGATCTTTTATATTCCCAAGGAACTGAACTGAGAGAAGGAATGAATAGAGGTGTTATGCAGAGCCCAAGCTGGTGGAGCCATGCCAACAATACCATGAGGCCTCCCACATCTCATCACCACCATCATCATCATCATGATAATCATCATCATCATCAAGAATCTGCAAATAGTACTTCATCATCACCTTTCATGGCTCATCCTGATCATATTCCCCACAACCTCTTCCCTCACCTAACCCCACCCCAACTCCCAACCCCATCATCCACTCACTCACTTCCATTTTCTTCTTGGATCAATGATTCCCAACTGCGCCTCCCTCCTCCAGCTGACTCTTGGAGCCAACTCATCTTGTAAGCCTATTTTTTGTGCTAATGAAATTGTGATTTCATTAACAATATGCAATTTTGCAAAGTGCAAGGCTTTTAGGAAAGTGTTCAGTGAATAGTAAAAATTTATCAAGTTTTTTCTCACATCTTCTCACCCTTTCTTAATCACTCAATTCCTTGAGTATATTTGAGATCAGATAATTAATTTTACTATAACAAAACTACTCCTTGACATTTTTTATGTATACATAAGTATTTGTTATCCTAGCAATTATCCCAACTCATCACAGTCTCATGATATTTTTTAGAGTGAAAAAAATGGGATTCAATTCTTTTTATTATTTTTACTTTGTAAAGTTGAGAAAAGGGCTTCTAGCTAGCTTGAAAAAAATTTACTTTATCTTTTCTGCATGTATATTTAGTGTTCAATACTTCCATACAGTTGACTGGCACTACAAACTTCTAATTTTTATACATGCGTGTATAATTTAAGGTTAAGTTTTCAATAAAGAGGTTAATAAATGGACAATTTTACCCAAAGTTTTTCTTTTAATCTTTCAACCTGGCACCTTTACCAAAACTACCTCAACAGATGCCTACACCTATAATTTTTTATAAATTTATATAGTATCATCAAACCCAACATGATTGTGTTCAAGGACTTAAGGTCTATGTATTGACTTTTGACTTCAGCTAAAATGGCTTCAGATACTGTAATTATCTAAATTTGACTACCTACAGAATGGTAGTATTTCTCATAAGTCTTATATGAGTCATATGATGACCTTTTTATTATTTAAGAATCTTCTTTAATTAATATGACTAATATTATTAACACAACATATATAATATAATTGTTCTTTTTATATAGGGGAGGATTAGTGGTTGATGGAGATAAATCAGATGGAATGGCTAACTGGGAAGGGCAACAACAGCTACTTAGCCAAGGCACGACCACATTCGACACAAAGCAGCAAAATGTCATCAACACGTCAGCAGCAAACAGCTGCTATATCTATGGTGGTGGCATAGAAAATAATGCAGACTTTTTAGCAAAGCCTTCTACTAATTACAATAACAACAATAACAACTGGTCTCAGTCTTCTCCATCCAAATCTTGCATTACAACTCTGAGCTGCACTGATACCATGTTGAATTCCTCCAACACCATTGTTATGTCGCCCCGTGCTCGACATCCTCCACCCGATCACTCGTCCGAGGTAATTTAACACATTTCTTGCTTTGATTTCTATAAGAACGTTATAAATGTAGCCCCGTAATTTATTTCTGCCTTTATACACTTGCAGATTTAGTTATGTAACTAATACATAGTACATATTTTAGGGCATTCTATTTGAATGAATTTTCAGATCTATTTTTCCCGAAAAATAAACTTTCCTAAAATTCCTTATAAATGAACATTTATTAGTTGCATGCAGAACCAAATCAATATGTGAGTAAAGTGACGTGACTAAAAGCAGGCACGACCAAAAATTAAGGAACCAAAAGAGTAAATCTTTCATTTTTGTTAAAGATTAATTAATTAATCTTGTACGTGTTCTAGCTAGAGTTCTTGACTTCTCTTAGAACGTAATAATACTACTATTTTCATCCCTATTGAAAGCTCAAGACTTTTGCAGTCTTGGATGTCCATTTTTACCACCATTGTAAGTATTTTTAAAATCTAAAATGAGTTATTAATTAAAGAAAATACGTAGTCAAAGAAATAGTTCAAATTTAATTTCGTATATACTCCGTATTAAAATATAATGATATATGTTTAAGCATAATGATCGATATGATGATTCATGTTAACAAACTTTACTTGACTTTAAAAGTCAAAACACGGTTTTTGTATAAATTCAAATTTCAATAGAGGAATTGAAGTGTTATTATTATAATATAATTCAAATTAGGTTGTTTAGATGTTGAATTTTTATTCTTGCAAATTCCCATCATATTGGAGAGTAGCGAATTATTATAATATAATTCAAGTTATGGTTATTAGAAGAATATATGTCCCAACTATATATCTGTACTTTCATGTACAAAAGTAGTGTGAATTTTTCATTTTTCTATTCCTTTTCCGTCCTAATATTCAATTTTCAAAAACTGTACTCCCTTATAATTTTATTAGACGTATATAAATATGTATATGAGATCATTAATTTGCAAAGTTCTATTCTTTATATCCTATGAGTCTATCAATTTGCATATTAATATACTAATAAAGTTTCTAAAGCTTTGATTTTTCTTAATTTTTATTTAATGAAGTGCATCAGCACCGCTACAACTGGTGGGGCACCTAAGAAGCCTAGACTTCAACCTTCGTCAAGTTCTCAATCTACCTTCAAGGTAATTAAATAATTATGATTACGATAAAAGTACTGTATGAATGCCATGTACGTATATGATTAAAGTTGCTTTATCATTATTCCTTTTTGCTTTTGCTCCAATTTTTATTTTTTATATAAATAAAATGTCATGCTCATATTTGTTTTTCATGATTGTCTTCTCTTTCGGGCATGATGATTCCTTTGTCCTCTCTCTTTAGCTCAGATCTTACCGTCCAAATTAAAGAAACCAAGATATTTTTAGTTCAATTTTTTCTTTAATTTTCTTCCTCTCATCTTCACAGGTTAGAAAGGAAAAGTTGGGGGATAGAATTACTGCCCTTCACCAGCTGGTTTCTCCTTTTGGAAAGGTAATATTAATAGGCTTTAATTTTATTCTATTAGCTTGGGAATGATAACAGTCATAAAAAAAATCCAAAGTTGATTGAATGAAAAAAAAGGACTAATAATAAGCAGTATATATATATGACTAATAAGGAGTGTAAAATAAATACACCGGAGAAAAATGTTGCTTATATATATATATATTATGCGATGTTCATAATAGTAATTTATGGTAGTGATTAGTGAACATGAATAAGTTTTATATTGCATTGACCATGCAGTGAAGTAATAGTAACTATGGTCATTTTTTGTTCATAAGTTGTACTTGTATTTCATTAATATTTAAAAAACTATGTATAGAAGTACAAAAGTAATATATACAAACCAGCTGCAATGCAATTTCGTTTTGCTATGTCATGTGGATTTTAAGTTCTTCAATAATTTGAAATGAATCACAATATATTCAATCCACCGTACAAGTTATTTAAGACCAAATTTGTAATTAAATATATTCAAGTTATGCGTAGGACTTAATTGCCTTCAATTAACTACATACGAAGTATTACGTACATACTCCATTGTGTCGATACTTAAACTTCTTAGTTTGAATAACACACATTTTAAGGATATATATATTTTTCTTTTGACTTCTTGAAATGTCCTTTTACTTGAAGTAATTTTATTGTGGAATACATTTTTGGAAAATTCTAAGTGTACATGAGTTGTACACAAATTGTACACAAAACCCCCTAATTTTCTGTGTACACATGCAATTCGTTTAAAAGGGCAAGATTTGATATAAAAAACTCTCTAATTGTTTGTGTACACATTTTGTGACATTGTTTGTCACTATTTAATACTAATTTACCTTATGCCCACAGATGTTATTACTTAATGATGTGGAGTACATTGATAGAAATTTATTTATCAAATAAGGAAAGATTTAGTTAGAGACATTCAAAAAGAGAAAGCAAGATATTTTAATGACTAGGGAGTACCATCAATCAAATAATGCTTTTTAGAGTGCCAACTACTCTCTCAATCATTTATCTTTATTTGTTTCATTTTATCTTTTTCGTCTGTCAAATCAAATTATTCATATATCATACGAGTATTTAGTAAAATTTGGATGATTACCATTTATTCTTATTTCACTTTTCTTAATAATCGCACAACACCTTTTATCTCAATATGAGGGGGACGGAGATGGTACAACTTAAAAAGAAAAGAAAAACATTTTATGCACATTTTTACTGTTTACAAACGTTTGTGAAGATGTGTAACTGCACAATTTTACTTTTCTTAATAACTGCACATCCTTTTATCTCAATGTTAGGGGGCGGAGGTGGGAGGTAGGGCATGTTTGGCACAACTAGCTGAAAAGATACTTTTGTGAGCTTTTTAATAGCTGTTAGCTTTTAGTGACTGAAAAGATCTTAAAAAGAAAAGGTGGTAGCTGTTTGATAAAAAGCTGACTGTTTGATTTAGTTCGGTTTGGTATACAAGCTGTTAGGATTAATTAATACTAAAAGTCACTAGCTTTTCTTAGATGCTACTCCCGGTAGCATCTCAAAAAAGATCTTTTAATTTTTGAAAAGCTCTTAAATATTGTCATGCCAAACACACAACTAGAAGCTTTTAGGAACTTTTTGAACAGTACAAAAGCTAGAAGTCAGGGACTTATGCCCGCCAAACATAACCGTAGTACAACTTAAATCTTAGTGAGGTGGAGAACAACCTTGTTTTTACCCCTTTCCTTTTTTAGGGTTTGATGTGCTAGTATGTTTTTCTTTTGCAGACTGACACAGCTTCAGTGCTGTTAGAAGCTATTGGATACGTTAGATTCCTTCAAAGTCAGATAGAGGTGCCTTTTTAATGTTTCACTCTTCAAATTTCTGCAAACTTTCATGAATCTGGAGCTCTTTCACTCATAAATGCCTAAAGCTCCCTTTAATTTATCTTCTGCCTTTTTTTACTGGTGCAGGCCCTTAGCTTGCCTTACCTGGCAACTGCAACATCTCATGATCAAACCATAAGCCACCATCAACAATCAACGGTTCGTAATAATAATAACGATAATATATACTCCAATTGCAAAAATAAATATAATTACACATGGATAACATAATACGATAGTAATAGCATACGATAATATATACCTCAACTTAATTCATTGTATATTTGTATGCATTCTTTTGGCTTTTTTATGAGTGCCATTTCAAATTTTCTTTTTCATTTGATTCTTAATGAAATAATGACTAATATTTAGTACTACGATATCATTGCATGAAAGACTCATTTTTAATACTACGTACTACTTTTGTCCCATTTTATGTGTCCTACGTACTTTGGTGTGATACAATTATTAATAAAGTGATTGAAAACGTAAAAACTATGATTGAGATTTAAGTATGATAAAGTGAAATAATGTGGTCTACATATTTTTTTCCAAAAAAATGTGACACTTATTTTGAAACAGTCTAAAAAAAGGTAAGACATGTAAAATGGGACGGAGGAAGTAACATTTTTATCTATAAGTTTTATTTCAATAATGCTATATGAAAAACTCATTTTTTATCACTTAACGTGCGAGTTCTCTTTTGTGGGTTAAACATATAAACTATTTCTTGTGTATGATAATACGTAATAAGTATGCATGGCGTATTGGTGTCTATTATTATTGTGGTTATAACTTTTACCATTATTTTTACTATTTTATGCCAATTATGCGTATTACGATTTTAAGATAAGATACGTCTTATTTGGGCAAACAAAAATATCACATGGTGACACCATGATAGGGTGAGTACTTTTTTTACTTTACATAAGTAACATAACATCCAACACGTGCCAGTTGAGCCCGATAAATGCGCAAAATTTTTCGATTCTATCGAATCTTAATTGGAGCCCATCTAGGTTTCGAATCAAAATAACATCTTATTCCCCAATCAAAATAACATTTTATTTTGGATAGGAGTTAATATGAAAATCTAAACCAAATTGACAATGTTTTTAATTAAGAATGTTTTTAATTGGATTGATTTTTATGTGCTCTGATTTAAATTGGTCAGATTTTGTCTGAAAAAAGTTTATTACGTGGAGTATATGTGTATTTTATTAGTGTCTTAATTTAGTCTAATTTATTTAAGTTCAATTTAATTTAGTTTGAGATTGAACCAGTCCAAATAAAACATCCAAGAGTTCGGTTAATAGTACTTAAGACTCCGGCCTGTGGCAAAGTGTGTGTGGATATTATAGGACACAAACTCAAAGAAAAGTATGCAGACAAACTCCTGGATTTTATATAGAAACGAATAATAGCTTAGATGAGTGGCTTCACATCATTGAGTATGATATTGATCACAATTCACACATAGAAAACCAAAATGCAAATAACGCACACCAAAAGAGAAAACTGCATGCTAACACAAAGGCTCTTGTGTTTATTAGAAAAACACTATTTTAAGTGCTCTAATTCCAAATAAGCTTTGTCATAGTAGGGTTTGGACTCAGGGCCGTCTCCAGGAGTTTTGGTGCCCTAGACAAAGAATGACTAATGAGATCAAATAGTACTTAAAATTAATCCTAAAATAATAACAGAATTAAATATGAAATTATTAGAAAATCATACCACCTTTTTTACATAATGTAAAAGGTATTACTTGACACAAAATTGATATAAAGTATGTGAAAAAATAAATTCTTCTAAGAAATAAATAAAATTATAAAAGTACTACCTAAATAACCTATTCTACTTGCGTTTTGGTGTGCAAAATTTGTAAGTACATCACTGCGATTAAGAGTAGATAATACTTTTTTTTATGGATAACATAGCGAGCTCACTTAACCTCTCTTGTGACATTGTTAGACACTCAAAATAATAAATTAGCACTAATTATTAGTTATATTACAAATTAGTAAATACTCCCTCCGTTCTCTAATAGATGGAAGTATAGAGTTTGACACAAGTTTTCAGGGGGAAATAATAGGGGTAGTGTAAAAGGTGTAGTGAGTTGTGTTTGAATGAAAAAGTAGGAAAGAGAATGAGAGTATATAGGTATATTTATTGAAAAAACTTTCCAAAAATGGAAAGAGGGACAAATATTAAAAAACAACCCAAAATAGAAAGTGAGACATCTAGTAGAAAACGGAGGGAGTACTAAATACGAAAATACAGTTTAAAAATAACAAGCTTCCAGTTTGATAAAATTAATAAATGATAATTATATGCAGATTGCGGAATTGCTAATTGTGGAAGAATTGAAGAATTTAAAGTTTTGAATATAAGGAATTATTATACAATGCTAATGAAATCTCAAATTTAAAGGCTGGATAATCTGGATCACTCATTACCTGGATTGGCATATTGCTGGAGGCTGGATGCCGGCGTCTGTCGCCTGGCACTCCGGCAGAAACGCAGTCCGCAGAAATCACAAGAATGGGTAGTGGCTATTCAGCTACTCTCAATTTGTTTTGCCTCCACATCCTCCGTATTTTTAAAATTCTTGTGATCTCATTCTAGGCTAACTAGGGTAATAGATTAAACTATTCCTAATTTCCTATTGGGCCAACCGGTCAGGCTTCCATTTGCCTATCACTATCCGTAATTGTGTTGCAGGACATGAAGTTTGACTTACTTTTAGTTTACCGCTGGCAGCAAAGTCTATAGGGAGTTGTATGGCCTTATTAATATAATAATGGATTTATTAAAAAATGGTGCCCTCCATGGATGTGGTGCCCTAGGCCACTGCCTAGGTGCCTGCCCACCATGGCCGGCTCTGTTTGGACTTTGGAGTGTTACCAAATTACTTGTGGCAAGTTATAAGTTATAAAACGAGGGCGGAATTATGGCAAAAGAGAGGCTAGATAGCTAGATAGTTTTTTCTTGGTGATTCATGCTTTGTCGGCCTATTTCCAAGTTTTAAGAAACGTGTCCTTAAGATCATCTCCAATTGTTGCTTCTAGGGACTTGCTTGCAATTTTGAAGTTACTAGCCTACCATTGGAGCATTACTCTTCATTTTGCTTGAGAAAGCTAATTAGCCTAAATGAGCTACTAGCTTGAGCAAGGAGATTTATTAAATATAGAATTATAAACAATAAATGCAAAGGAAAAAGTTATAGCTAACCATTGAAGTATATTTCAATTTTGCTAGAAATGCTTATGTGACTAGTCAAGAAATAAGGGCAATTAGCTAACTGTTGGAGATGCTCTAACCCTGAGAAAATTAATTGCGAGTCGCTTGAAAAATCCACCATTATGTTGAAAATTACATTCAAATCAATGTTACATTCATAGTTTTAACTATGAATAGTTTTATTTATCAGTCTTAAAACCCTCATTTTCAGGTCATACAAGGGGAAATGAATACTTTATTCCCCGAAGACCCTGGTCAGGTATGCTTTATTGGTCCATTTTCTTCAAAAGTGTGTTTAGTTGTTGGCAATATTATTGGCTTATTGCTTTATCCCCTACTCCGTGTAACTTTTTCCGATAACCATGAATAAATGAACAAACAAAATATAAATATATCCTCTCTGCAAAAGTTTCGTTTTACAGCATGCAAAGTTACGTTTTTTACTTTACGCTTTACGTGTAGTCAAGTACTGTACTACGTAATAATTATACCTTTGGTAGAAAATGAATAGAATAAATAAATAATTAGGTAAATAAATAACAACTGAATGAAACAAAAACAATCTAATTTCAGTTGTGGGCACATCATATCTTTTTGTTTATATAACATAACTAATTAAAGTGAGATGTATGTTAATATTGTTTTTTATTTGACTATGAAGCAAAATATGCTTTTTAATGCAATTTTAGTTGCAATGGTATATGTTTTACTTTAAGTGTCAACCTCTTAATTAGGATGAGACTCACACATGTGACCTATTTTTTAGTTAGGTCACAATGATATAAATGTCATCAAACCACATAGTACTTCACGAATTGAAGCAACATATGTTTAATAATTTGTAGTAATAATGTTGTTGCATGTATAATGACTCAGGTTTCGTCAAATGAAGAATCAAAGAAAGACCTGAAGAGTAGAGGGTTGTGCCTAGTCCCAATATCTTCCACATTACAAGTCGGAAACAATAATGGGGCTGATTACTGGGCTCCTACACCCTATGGAGGGGTGGGTTTCTTATGATGAACTATCTGCAGTTAATCATTTCAGAGCACAGTATTAGAAATGGGTTACCACTTAATCAAGGCCGGCCGGATAAATAAATATATATATACATAATGTGTGTGTATATGTATCAAATTAAATACAAGACAATATAGCTGCTATAACATCATGAGCAGTCCATCTGCTAAAGTTATAAGGTTGATTGCTCATGATGGTATACGTTTTATTTGATCTATCTACTGAGGTTTTAACGTGTGCTTGAGTTGTTTGTAATAATGATATGATCTTATTTATTAAGAGCTCTTAATTAATCAAGATCATTATATCAGCCTTTTTTTTCATTTCATTTAAAGGTTATGTTTGTCACAACACTTCAACTCAAAATGTGCTGAAATATCTCATACTGAGGACAACTATTTTTGGAATAGTGCATCTTTGGTGGATGAAAGTCTGAAATAGGCTTGAGGTGAAATTAATTAACTAATTAAATCAAAATGTTCATGTGTGTATTTAGTGTTTCAGTCTAGTAGAAAGTTTCATGTATCAATCTTCTTGTCCCTAACTTATTGAATTGAAGTTTGCCGGCAACTGAACTGAAGTGTTTAATTAGTATTGGAGCTGTTGGGATCGGATTCCGTTTCCGGCGCAGGTCTATTACACTAGGCTCACATACACCACACTAGGCTAGACTTGTTCACCACCAAGCTTCTTCTCTACCACTAAGTAACCTCTCTTACACTCTCAAACACGTGTACTCCCATATGTAATGTGTAGCTAGTACATTAAAACTTAGTGGATATGTAATGTGGATTTTTTTACCGGACAGTGCCGCTGTGCGGCCAGACAGGCCTAAGAGCATAATCATCGAAGGGCCCAGCAGGATAGGAAAAACTGCCTGGGCCAGATCACTCGGCCCACATAATTATTTAAGTGGACATCTGGACTTCAACAAATACGTGTACTCCAATGAGGCCTGCTACAATATCCTTGATGACGTCACTCCCCACTACCTCAAATTAAAACACTGGAACGAATTAATTGGGGCCCAAAGAGACTGGCAGACCAATTGCAAATACGGTAAACCAGTCCAAATAAAAGGAGGCATTCCTGCAATCGTGTTGTGCAATCCCGGGGAAGGTTCTTCGTACAAAGATTTCCTCGAAAAAAAGGAAAATGTGGGTCTCCGCGATTGGACCTTAAAAAATGCAGAATTCGAATTTATCGAATCGAATCTGTTTACTCGGGGTGCGTGACAGCTGTGCGAATCCAGATAATAATGATCCCGGAAAATCCGGGATTACCTTTTCCAATAATTTAAAGTCCAAACTCCGGACTAAAAAACGGTGGGTTCCAAGGAGACGACGGATAGATCTCCCCTGCGGTGTAGTTACTATCTCCATATTTCCTGTCATAAATATGGATTTTCGCACCGGGGATACGCTCACCCGGGAACAATGGAGCAGGGGCGTCTACATATGGGAGGTACCCAATCCGCTGTATTTCAAGATCACGGAGCATCAGACATTAACGTCCGTCACGGAGCTGGACTTCCTGAAGATACAGATCCGGTTCAACCACAACGCAAGACGGGCTCTGGGATTGCAGAAAGCGTGGATATCTTTGACGGTCTGGACGACATTGAAGCCATCGACTTCAACGTTTGAAAATAGATTTAAATTCCATGTAATGCAGTACTTAGACAATCTAGGAGTTTTAAGTATTAATAATGTAATTAAGGGTGTTCAGTATTACTAGACATGTTTCAGCGTTACATTATTGATGTAGAACAAGAACACAATATTCAGTTTCGCATTTATTAATGTCAAATAATTAAATAATTTATTGGTGTACACATCCATTAAACTAAGTTTTAAAAAAATATCCACTAAGTTTTAATGTACTAGCTACACATTACATATGGGAGTACACGTGTTTGAGAGTGTAAGAGAGGTTACTTAGTGGTAGAGAAGAAGCTTGGTGGTGAACAAGTCTAGCCTAGTGTGGTGTATGTGAGCCTAATGTCAGAGGAAAACCAATCTCTACACCATTGATCTCAAATCGGTACGATCCCCCATATTCATCTGTCTCTTGTCCAAAGCATCTGAAGAGCAAAGCAATCTATGGCACAGACGTCTCTCACACTTGAATCTGCCAGCCATCAGTTCCCTCTCCTCGAAGAAGTTGGTGAAAGGATTACCTGTTCTGAAGAACTCCCCCAACCATCACTGTTCTGCTTGTCATTTGGGAAAGATGAGGAGAGCATCACACAAGTCAAAACAATTTCCCTCCTCATCACGTCCCCTGGAGCTACTACATATGGATCTGTGTGGTCCGATGCGCGTGCATAGCATCAGTGGACGCAGATACACTTTGGTGATTGTGGATGACTACTCACGCTGCACATGGACCAAGTTTCTGCGCTCCAAGGACGAAACTGCAAATCTCATCATAACATTCATTAGGACCATACAGAACTACTTACAGCAGAATGTGAAGATCATCAGAACCGACAATGGGACGGAGTTCAAGAACAAGGAACTGGCCGAATTCTACGAAGCTCAGGGAATTACTCAACAGTTCTCTGCAGCTAAGACACCACAGCAGAACGGTGTTGTAGAAAGACGGACCAGAACCTTGGTGGAAGCAGCCAGAACCATGCTGATACAGTCAAAGCTTCCTCACTTCATGTGGGCGGAAGCAATCAACACAGCTTGCTTTACACAGAACAGGACGGTGATACATAAATGTAACACCCCGATTTTTTTTATGAGCTAGTTTTATTAATCATTATTGTTTATTTAGTCAGTTTAATAAATTTATTTTATGAGTAATGTAACTTATTGTTTGATCAAGTGTTGTTTTGGCAGGTAGCGTTGACCGGTAAGCTCATAATAATTTTAATCAAAGAAATAAATAAATGCCATTTTAATATTTATTTTTAGTATATTTTGAAAGCGAGGATTTAATATTCAGTTTGGGTAAAGAGCGTTTTTTTAGAAGACTAAGATACCCAAATCAGTTATATTGGCCCGAATCAATATTTTACCCAGAATCCCTTGGGAGATATATATCTTCATAGAAACCCTTGAGCTCTAGCCAGCAGTCCGTTTTTTTTCTTCCCTTGGCCAGCAGTCCAATGAAGCCATCTAGCACTACCATCTGCTTTCATCTTAAAACTGGTAATTCTATATTGTTCACGCCTCTAATTTTGATTCATCCTAAAAAGATGTTGATTTGTGAAAGCTTCACTACGTACTAGTTGCCTGGGATGTCCTATAGGGAGGGATTTGAAATTTAACCCAAATAATCTCACTTTTCCTTCTCAAAATTCTTCTCCTCTGTCAACTGGCCGAACCAAGCTACTGACTGAGTTTTGGATTACCATCTTTGACCAGTGAAAGTTTGTTTTCGTAAATAATAAAACTGATCTCGGGTATTTATTCTCATAGGTTGTCTTGCCATTCTTTATTTTGCCTACTCCTGTAGTTGCAATTTGGTGTGAGGATAATGTAAGGCCTGTTTTGAAAACCATTGGTGTATAAGAAATCTATGCTCCACAAAGTTTGAATTTTATACTATATTGGATTAGTTCTTCTCCACCTTATTGGTCCTAGGTGGTGTAGAGTAACAAAACAAAGTTGTGACAAGACTCATCATCGCCGGGTCACCCGGAATATCAAAAGACACAACGGGCAAACACTTTATTACGCAACCCACAGTTATCCACAGTCAAAGTTTAACACGCGTTTACAGGACAAGTGCTTCTCAGCAGAAAGACACTTGGTACCCATATCCGCGGGGTTAAACTCCGACGGGATCTTGCACAGCTTGACTCCACCTGCATCAACAATATCACGTATGAAATGGAACCTAACATCAATATGCTTAGTTCTATCATGAAATACAGGATTTTTGCAAAGTTGGATAGCCGATTGGCTATCCGAGAAAATGGTAACTCCCTTTTTGAGAAACCCAATTTCGGAGACAAGGCGTTTGAGCCTGATGGCTTCCTTAAACGCTTATGTGGCTGCAACATACTCAGACTTAGTGGTAGAAAGGGCCACAATAGGCTGCAGTTGAGACTTCCAACTAATGCAAGAGCCACACAAAGTAAAAACATAAGAAGTGGTCGACTTCCTGTTATCTCTATCATTTGCATAGTTAGAATCAACATAACCAATCAATTCAATACCACTAGCACATTTAGAGAAAATTAATCCATGCTTCACAGTAGAAATCAGATATCTAAGCAACCACTTAAGAGCATTCCAATGGGGCAAACCAGGGTTGGACATATATCTACTCAAGCAACTAACCGCATATGCAATATCCGGTCTAGTGCTAACCATAAGATACATCACCGACCCTATTGCACTGGAATAAGGCACAGATTTCATTTTCTCAATTTCAGGAGCAGTCTTGGGAGACTGGTCCTTACTTAACACAAAGTGAGATGCCATAGGGACATTAACAGGAGAAGCAGATAACATATTAAATTTACTCAAAACTTTTTCTATGTAAGAAATCTGATTCAAAGTAAGAGTACGCTTACTCCTATCCCTAACAATGTTTATGCCTAGGATCCTCTTGGCATCACCTAGGTCTTTCATGGCAAAATTCGCACAAAGACATTTTTGCACATCTTTAATAGCATTCAGAGAAGGACTAATTATCAGCATGTCATCCACATAGAGTAACAGAAATACAGGCACGGAAGAAGTATTTTTGAAATACAGGCAATGATCACAAACAGATTTTTGGAACTTCAAAGATATCATGCATTTATCAAATTTGATGTTCCACTGCCTAGGAGATTGCTTCAGGCCATACAATGCCTTCCTAAGCAAACATACATGCTCACTTCTCTTGGGATCCACAAAGCCCTCAGGCTGGGTCATATAAATTGTTTTGTCCAATTCACTATGCAAAAATGCAGTGGTTACATCCATTTGTTTCATTTCCCAGTCATGGTGAGCAACTAAAGCAAGCATCATACGAATAGTGGTGAATTTAACAACAGGAGCAAAGATTTCTGCATAATCTACCCCCTCTTTTTGAGTAAACCCCTTCGCAACCAACCTAGCCTTAAACCTAACATCACTAGGTTCTTCCTTAACCTTAAACAACCATTTACACTCAACTACCGAACAATTGGGGGGTCTAGGTACAAGGGTCCAAGTCTGGTTCACTCTCAAAGAGTCCATCTCACTTTTCATGGCACTAATCCATTTCTGAGACTCTTTGGAACCTAAGGCTTCACGGTAGGTCTTGGGTTCATTCAGCTCTAGGGATTCAAACACAGAAAATGCAAACATAGAAGTATCATGCACAATGAAAGCATAATCAGGCATACTATCAGCAGTTCTCCTGATAGCCCTTCTACTTCTATCTCTAGCAAGTTGATAATCA